CATACATCTACCGCGAAACATTTTTCTATAGATATTCATTGAAAATGAAAATACTGAAAAATTTAAATTTAACACTTTTCCTACAATTTTTCCATTACGGTCCATTTAAAAAAAATCATGTATGAACAAATATTATAGAGATCGATATCGCAAACAACTTTTATTTCAACAATTTTCATAAAAATCAGAATTTTGCACATTTTGTCAAATTTCTCGAATACGGACCATTTCAGGAAATTTTTACATAAAGCAAAAATTATAGATAATAATATTAGAAATAACTTTTATTTGAACAATTTTCTTCTCCAAACATAAATAACAGATATATTCCATAAAATATAAAAACGGCCTCCCATAAAGTACCCCCCCAGATGTTCCGACTTTGTCCAAAATCTAATCATTTCACGTCAGGCCGAAATAAAACTTAAGTTTAAAATTTATTGATTTTTTCTTTATCAGTTTTTGAGTTTTCTTCAAATTTCGAAATTTACACATTTTCTCAAATATCTCGAATACGGTCAATTTTAGAGAAATTTTCTATGGGACAAAAATTATAGAGAATTATATTACAAACAACTTTTGTTTAAACAATTTTTATAAAAAAAAATATTTTTTTACATTTTGTCAAATTTCTCGAATACGGACCATTTTAGGAAAATTTTGTAAATAACAAAAATTATAGATAATAAAATAAGAAGTAACTTTTATTTAAAAAATTTTCTTCCCCAAACGTAAATAACAGATATATTCCATAAAATATAAAAATGACCACCTATAAAGTACCCCCCCAGATGTTCCGACTCTGCCCAAAATCTAATCAGCTCATTAGACGCTGTAATAAAGCTTAAGTTTGAAATTTGGTGTTTTTCCGTGTATCGGTTCATGAGTTATGCGTTATACAGACACACACACACACACACACACACACACACACACACACACACACACACACACACACACACACACACACACACACACACACACACACACACACACACACACACACACACACACACACACACACACACACACACACACACACACACACACACACACACACACACACACACACACACACACACACACACACACACACACACACACACACACACACACACACACACACACACACACACACACACACACACACACACACACACACACACACACACACACACACACACACACACACACACACACACACACACACACACACACACACACACACACACACACACACACACACACACACACACACACACACACACACACACACACACACACACACACACACACACACACACACACACACACACACACACACACACACACACACACACACACACACACACACACACACACACACACACACACACACACACACACACACACACACACACACACACACACACACACACACACACACACACACACACACACACACACACACACACACACACACACACACACACACACACACACACACACACACACACACACACACACACACACACACACACACACACACACACACACACACACACACACACACACACACACACACACACACACACACACACACACACACACACACACACACACACACACACACACACACACACACACACACACACACAGACATCATCGCGAAAATAGTCAAAACGGATTCAGGGGACCTCAAAACGTAAAAATCCGTCGAAAACTCGAGGTCGAAAAAAATCATGATTCCTATACTTTCCTTATATCTGTATACAGATAGGAAAGTAAAAAACTGACGACTACAAAAAACGAAGAGTGATTATTTTCTCATGAATCCCATCATCAGATCTTTACACAAATTTATATTATGAAACCATCTCTGAGGAGCCCCCTTTCTAACAAAAAAATAATCAGAAATCGGACAACATAGTAAAGAATTGTCGCTGAATATCCATAAAAAAATATATTCCGATGAATTGAGAACCTACTTCTTTTTTGAAGTCTGTTAAAAATAGAAAATACATTGGAAATATTACCACAGTAAATGGGGTTTGCACACATGATAAAACTAAACATATTTTTAATTATGTACTTCTATTTGAAAAAATAATGTACAGTAGAAAGAAATATGCTTTTCCATGACAAACGGGAAGAGAAAATGTAAAGTAAGTACAAGAAAAAATAGTTTTAGTTTATATAAAAGGGACAAACTATATTTAAATACTGTTGCTTTAAACCACAAATCACAGATTTTTAATCGAGCACTACTAGAAGGGCAGTTAAATGAGTATTTTCCTCTTTTTCAAGTGACTTATTGGAACCTTTTCTTCATTTAAGTCATTCTATTTATTTTAAGAAATTATATTCATGTGTAAAACATTTTTTCTCTGAACCGACTGTCCTTGCTCCTGTCTATTAAAAAATATGAGCCGATGTCGAAAAAAGATAGGGATAGTGTTAACATTTAACCATAGCCGTAAAGGTTGAGCCTCAATTTCATTTTTTACTTTATTTGTAATTAATTTTCGAAACAATATTACCAAATTAACTTCATTAATTTAAAAATCTCCCGTGATCAGCTGTGAAGCGACAGACTGTCAGTTGGAAAAGCGCCGTTGCCAGTTTTATTCTCAGTTAGTTATTTGTTCTTTAGCTTTGTCCTGTTTTGACATTGTACTGATATACAGGTTTTCTCAACATGATGAGAGGTGATCAGTCAACTGAAATAAAATGTATTAATGATATGGTAAATAAAACCTAAAGAAAATAAATTGAAGTTTATTGAAACAATCCACCAAAAATATTAAAAGAAAGCAGCCAACCAAATATTTTTTGGACCTAGCCCTTCTATTGGTCTGACAAAATCGGTATTGACAGACCTAATTTAAGAACATTCCCTTGTGAAATTCAAGGAAAGATGGGATGAATTAAGAAACTGCAGAGTTGCCAGGGAGCTCTTAATTTATCCTGACAATACTGCAGCAAACAAATACTTGACTACGACAGAATCTGCGCCTGGTCACAGGCATTCTGACTGGTCATTGCCAAGTACGAAAGCATCTCCATATCATGGGGCTGTCAGAATCCGCACTCTGCAGAGAGTGCGAACAAGAAGATGAGACCATCGAGCATATCCTTTATGATTGCCCGACGCTCTCATTTATTAGAAGATTTGTGTTCGGCGAGTATCGGCTAACACCGGCCGATATAAGAGAAGCACCTCTTGGCGACGTTGTCAACTACATTAAATCTGTAGGCTGGCTGACGAGCTAGGAGGTGTCTATCATCTTAGAAGGATGCACAATGGGCCTAATGAGGCCTAAGTGCCGTGGGAGTAACCCACCCTCCACACGTTACAGATACAGATTCAAAAACTTACAGGCCTATTGTGAGTCTATTTGTTTGGAAAATATATCATTACTGTTTAATAATATTATAGTTCCTTTTAACTCTAGTTGTAATCTTTATTATTTTTTAATTAAAATTATACTAACCTATTAATTTTAAGTAAATATTTTTTAATTATTTGTTATGGAAGTATTCTTAGCTAAATTAAGATTATCTCTAATGTAGTACCTAAATGGTGTTTTAAATGTTAATTAACAATTTTTTTAAATGGTTTATTATTTAATAAATAAAGTTTACTCGAATATTTAGTTACATTTTAATCATTTTAGTAAGAAATTAATCAATTTTTAGTTTTAAAAAATCAGTAATAAAGTTGTTAGTTTTTCTTTAAAATACTTCGGAATTCAACTCGTCATGGTAATCTCCCGTCTTTTTGCCTTCAAAAATGGATAATGCATTTTCTATAAAACCTTCAGAACCAGCATGTAAAATAATATGGCGTCTTCCCTTTCTTGTAAGGCTTTTCAGGAACTGCTACCCATAATCGGTGTAGAAGGACCCATAATCATAGAAATTCAATATAATTGCTTCCTGAAGTTCTGAAAAGAACTGTTATTAACGAAAAAAAGTAAAAACTAAGTAATAATGATGAGATATTAAAGGGATGAAAGCAATAACAAAACTGTCAATATGAAATGTCAAAACTGTCAGTAATTAGCTGCGATATAATGCTAAAAAGTGATGTGTGAAATTGACTTGTAATCTGACTAATTAGAAGTCTACAGAATTGTCAACTTAAATTCAAATCGCTCCTCCAAGTTTAAAAACAGGTTTTTTATAGCAGCTATTGTTTGACAGGTAATAAGTAAATTCTTCGTTTAAAGCCATTTATGCAGTGTGTTATCTATTTCACTAAACTAAGACGTCAGTAATATTTTTTTAAATGGAACAATTGATATTTTATATCAAAAAAATTAGTCCCTTTAAATGCAAATCCTAATTAATAACAATTCTAATTTTTCTCAAACAGTTTTTAAGAAAATTATACCAAATGACTTTACAGCTTCATGAAATAAAACAAGAAAATCTAATACAATGTAATCACAAATACATACAGAGTGCAAAATGATTTGTCATTGTTGCCATTATTTTGATTACAGGTACTCTTGAAAAGGTACAGATTTCATTTTCCGTTTGGCTTTAAATGATCAAAACTATATTCCGAATAGAATGTTTGAAATGCTTGATGGGAACAAGTCGACTGAATCTATAAATGAACGCGTGAACTAAAATCATCGGTAGAGAAGGTAGACAATGGTATTACCGCGTATATTATTTGAAATTTCGGCTTGTATTTTATTTCTCAATTTTCTTCATTATTACATCGATTTGAGAAATGGTTTCAACGTAATTGTAATTGGTTTTAAATAGACTATTTGCTTGTCTTCGTAAAAAAATATATTTTATTTTTTATAATTGTTTAAACTTTTATTTTTATTGTTTTTAAAGTTGCAGTATTGATATTAGCGTCAGCAACTGCTCTGATTTATTTAAAAAATGTCTACCAAATCTTAGGTCTTCATCTTTTATAGTTTAAATTCATTTGTAAATAAAATTAAATGCAATTAAACTCCCACCTTAAGAAAGTATACTTTTAAACAGATTCGACTTACCGTTAATGATCTAGTAGTAGCTCGTAATTCTCTAGTGTCTTTATTTTCTTGTTCATGTTCCTCTCTCACTGTTAAATCGGGTTTTTCTTGTAAGCTGTCCTCTTCCAGGGGAGGAGTCATATAGTTAATATTTCTCCGGGATCTTAAGTGATGACCGGTAATATCGTTGACTGCGGGGGAAAGACGGGAAGGATCGCACATTATTGAGGCAGCTCGGGTTCTGCGCATTGTTCGTTTTTTGTAAGACGGTGAAAATTCATCTAACGAAGCGTCATGAACTCCTAAAAAATAAAATTTAATTATCTGTTCTAGTAAATCATTTTGAAATTAGTATAAACGTTCAACGAGTAGTAGAAGAATGTATATTCATTAAGAACCTACCTATTGCATCAATTCCATTCAAATTAAGAAAGGGAATATTATCGGTTTGCAAGAATCCATTAAGTGACCCATTCAGAGCTATATAATTGGCATCTTCTCCAATAAGCTTTTGATGCTTTTTTGACTGTATATGGTCTTCCACGCTGTTATAAGGAATGTTGCAAACTGCACAATAACCAGACTGTAGAGCAGATACCCGCGGCCTTCTTGTCCTGAAATTACAATAACGTAGCAATTTATTTTATATGAAGTTAAGAATATTTGTGTAGTGTCGCATTTTCAATGAAATAAAGACCAAATTATAAAGGTTTTATTTTTGATTCGTATTGGCAATGTGATTTTATATAAAAGTAATTTTAAAAAACCTTTAAAATCGTGTAGATGCCCATACAAATTAAGATTTTTTTTATTTTCTCATAGATCATCACCGATGACGTTAAGGATATCGAAGACAAATTAAATTCTTGCTTAATTTCACAGAGAGATCAAATTGCGGAATTAAATATATTGATTACGTTAAGGGATAACAATGAGCATTTAAAAAATCAGTTACATGAATCCTCTCTATCACACGATAAACATAAGGAGAACATGAATGATTTATCAGACATTAACAAACGGATGTTAAGCTCAATAAGTATTTTGGAAAATGAGAACATTTTATACACATCGGAGTTAAAAAGTTGATGACTATAAGCTAAAAGCTTCTGAGTTAAACTATGTTGTTCCAGTTTCCCCAGTAAAAAAGAAAACATAAATACAAAAGATACAATTCCTATCTGTATACAGATATAAGGAAAGTATAGGAATCATGATTTTTTCGACCTCGAGTTTTCGACGGATTTTTACGTTTTGAGGTGCCCTGAATCCGTTTTGACTATTTTCGGTTCGGGATGATGTCTGTGTGTGTGTGCCATAACTCATGAATCGATACACAGAAAAACACCATTTTAAACTTAAGCTTTGTTCCAGCGTCTAATGACGGGTTAGATTTTGGGCAGAGTCGGAACATCTGGGGGGTACTTTATAGGTGGTCATTTTTATATTTTATGGAATATATCTGTTATTTACGTTTGGAGAAGAAAATTATTCAAATAAAAGTTACTTCTTATATTATTATCTATAATTTTTGTTCTATACAAAATTTTTCCTAAAATGGTCCGTATTCGAGAAATTTGACAAAATGTAAAAAAAAAATATTTTTAAAAATTGTTCAAATAAAAGTTGTTTGTAATATAATTCTCTATAATTTTTATACTACACATAATTTCTCTAAAATGGACCATATTCGAGATATTTAAGAAAATGGTGTAAGTTTCGAATTTTGAAGAAAACTCAAAAGCGGATAAAGGAAAAAAACATTAAATTTTAAATTTAAGTTTTATTTCGGCCTGACGTGAAATGATTAGATTTTGGATAAAGTCGGAACATCTGGGGGGTACTTTATGGGAAGCCGTTTTTATATTTTATGGAATATATCTGTTATTTATGTTTAGAGAAGAAAATTGTTCAAATAAAAGTTACTTCTAATATTATTATCTATAATTTTTCTTTTGTCAAATTTTCCTGAAATGGTCCGTATTCGAGAAATTTGACAAAATGTGCAAAATTCTGATTTTTAAGAAAATTGGTAAAGTAAAAGTTGTTTGCGATATCGATCTCTATAATTTTTGTTTTTACATGATTTTTCTAAAATGGACCGTAATGGAAAAATTGGAGGAAAAGTGCTAAATTTAAATTTTTCAGTATTTTCGTTTTCAATGAATATCTATAGAAAAATGTTTTGAGTTAGATGTATGTGGAAAATGTATATATTTAGTTTATCCTCTAAACATTTATAGAGGTGCTACAATAGGTTTACAAAATAACCGGAAAAAGCCTATAATAACTAGATAGGAAAGTCATGTGTTGGACACATCAAATTATTTTTATAATTATCAAACTAGAAATTCGAATCTCTTGGTGATTCCTAAACATGCAACATCCAAGTTTGAAAATTCTCCTAAATATATGGGCCTAAAACTCTACAACCATCTTCCTAATCATAAAAATTTTTTTTAATTAATAAATGTCTTTTCTCGACATTAAAACAGTAATATTATAATAAATTGAAATAGCACCACTGTGACTTTTCTGTTTTTGTAAACTTGATGCTGTCGAGAATTTTATCCGCCACGTGTATCCCTTACCAAAGAGCATTTACGTGTTGGTTACACGGCCCTACGTATGCTCTCCAAAGGACCGGGTCCAATGGTTCGAGACCAAGGTAATGCACAAACAATAATACAATCATAAATAAATATTATTACCCAATTTACATTAGAATTTATATAAAACCATTTGCAACACATACAAGGTGGAGCATCACATACACGTCGGTCCAGACTATGACATATGATATTTTTTTAATTACTTTTATAGAGAAAGAATATTTATTGAAGCTATAATTAAAAAATACTTTGGATTTTACAGTGTTCTTACAAGTTTCTATCTAAAAAATATTATTATTGAAAAAAGTTAAACATTACAACCGTTTAAATTACTTAGTACAATATAATATCAATATAAAATGATAGTAATGGGTAGAAGGCAATTCTAATGCAAGGTAGTAGTACGTGGATTGCATGAAAAATGCCTTTCAACTAAACGAAAGATTATACCATCTATAATTTGGAAACAATGCATTTTTTCAATTCGAGATTTGTTTTTGTTTAGTTGTTACAATGAAAAGTGTCTCTATGGCAACTGATTTAAGCTAAAGCTCAATTAAATGATCTATAACTTGACAACTACGCGTGGAAAACTTTTTTATTATTGGTTTTGTAAAAAAATTCATTCACAATAAAAAGTTCTGCATGGTCCAAAACTTAAAATTCAACCATCAGATATCCAATTTTTTAATTCGTATACGAGGTTCGTCAAAAAATATGAATTTTACTCAAGAGTAAAGTACCTTTATTTTTTACAATACAGAAGAATGTTATAAAGTAAGTTATTTTGAATTAAAAGTAATACTCAAACATGCAATTAGCCATTTAACATTAAAATTCAGGTTTGCTGATTATTTAATTTATAACTACAAATAGGGGAAGGTGGGGTAAATGTAGACAAATTTCTACACTTACCCCATGGGTAAAATGTTTAAAATTGCTACAGTACCATCTAAAGTATTAAGATCTTGTATTGTTAAGTACTAGATACCTAACACCTTGTGTTACTTTCTGTATATAAATGGTTAACCTAAACCAACCTCCTGGAAATATGTGCAATTTTTTTTTAAATTCGTATTTTGTCTACGCTTACCCCGGCGAATGGGGTAAATGGAGACAACACGGATTACTGCTTATACTATAACGTTAATTTAACTGGGATAAGTGGAGACAAAGTATGAACCATAACTAATATGCAGGTAAATTTAAAAAAAATATATTTTTTTTTTTTCATTTAAAAGATACAGAACTTTTAAGGTAGGGTAAGCAAGGAACATAAACTAAAAGTATATTTTTAACTTAAAACAACACATAAAATAAACTCAAACTAAAACTGACACTTTGTCAACAATATTACCTACCTAATATTAAAAATAAATAAAAAAATTGGTATTCTTTGGTAAGTAAAGCTACTTAGAAAAAACATATTATTCTAATTATCAATACAAAACATTTTGTAAAAAGGGGTAGATAAAAAAGTTAAATTAAACATTAGCATAATGTTTTGCCCGTATTATGCTGAAAATCTAACCATCGTTTTTGAATATCTGTTGGTTTGGGATTTAGTGTAAATGAATGAACACCATCAAGCTTGATAGGTCCCATAAAACATGCGGACTGTGAAACCGTGTCAATGTCATCCCTTTTTGGCCATCTGAATTTCTCCTCTGGAATACGTTCTAAAAACTTCATGGTTACTTTGTCATTTTCGATGACATTGACACGACCAATGTACTTAGAGACGTAATCAACAGCAAAATAACTACCAATTTTTAAGTCTGTCCGCTTACTTTCTGGAGAGTTTGCATTCCTATTTTCTTTGTTGGCACAACAGGGTTCGTCATCAATATTGTCATCATAGGGATCCCCAGTTATGCTGTTATCATCACTTGATGTGAGATTCTGTACTGCTAGTAAAAGATCGTCATCTGGGTCGGACTCAGATGAAGATTCTTCAATACTAATTTTTTTTCTTTTTCTTTGCTGTTTGCTTTTGGGCAAATTTTGATTTATTTTCTGCATTCTTAACTATTTTTGTTGTTTTCGTAGGATTTGTTTTTGTACTTTTTTTTGCGTTTCTTCTATCCTCTTCTTCTTTCAACCTTTTTCTCACCTCTTTACTAGTTAGTATTTCGCCGTAAGCTTCTTTTTTTACTCTTATTTGCTTTTCTTTAGATCGTATATTGTCTGAAGGGGCAAATTCCTTTCTCATTTTATTCAAAAAGACATCCATAAGGGATCTTCGGCCGTCAGATGTCGTTGGTTCATTAATATCGATTTCTTGGGGAGTCATAAGGGATCTTCGACCATCGGATGTTGTTGGTTCATTATTATCTAATTCTTGGGGAGCCAGACTTTCTGATTGTAAAGGATCACTTTGAGAAATCGAAGGCTGTAGTGAAACCACATTTTGGGATAAAGTAGAAGGTGCTTGTAAAACTTCAAGTTCAGGCAAGTCATTGTCAGGTTCTAGAGGTGGTACAGTTTCTTCGTTCGTGGTTTTTTCACCTTGATCTTCTGGCACTTCAACAATATTTTCTTGTTCTCCTGCAGGTTTGTTTTTATTATTTTGTTTTTGTTGTTGTTGGAGGGATTTATATCGATTTAATTTATTTTGATCGTACTCTCTTTCAGGAAATTTTGAGGAGTCTACTGGAAAACATCCTGTTTCGCGAAATCCCGAAATTATATTTTTTTCGGATAAATAAGTTCTCCATGCTTTTGCCAACAGTTCAACAAAGATTTTTCGGTTTAGAGTGTTAAAACTAGCAAGTAAATTTTTGCGACCATATGCAACTAAAATTTTTTCCCAGCCAGTCTTTAAAGGTCCAAAGACGCACTTGTCTAATGGTTGCATGTGGTGAGTAAGGTGGTTGGGTAGTTTCAGTAATATTAAGTCTGCGTTAATCGCCGCATTTACCACAAGACTTATGTGACTTTTGTGGCCATCCATAATAAGTATTGCTTTATTTTGAGTGTTTTGTATTTGTTGCAGGTTATTAATGTATGGTATTAGACTATCAGTCAGCCACGAGAAAAATACTGGCTCCTCCATATATCCGTTTTCTGTTGTATCATAAACAGTGCCTGGAAACTCGGCTTCATGGTTTGTCCACCTTGCCTGTACGGCACCTTTTGCTTTAAAAATAACTAGTGATGGTAACACTCTACCTGAAGCTGATGCGCAGCAGTGGACAGAAATGTTTTCCCTTCCTGTACCACCCACTCTCCTATAAAATGACTTTTGTCCTTTGAGTCCAATTGCCTTTACTTTGCTAGGGTCAGTACAGAACCCTGTTTCATCACAGTTTAGGATCAATTCAGGGGAGTTTTGAAGACCTTCTCGTTGAATAAGTGATTTTAATTTTTCGTAAAAATCAAAAACTACAAATGGGTCTGCGGCTTCAGCTCTTTTTTGCTGTAGTTGTTCCGGTTTTTTGAGGCTTAGCCGAGGTCTTCTCTTCATAAAGGCAAGGTACCAGTCTTCGCCGGGGCGATTATCTTTAAAGTTGGTTTTAATGTTATTACTCCTTTACAATATCAAGTAATTCATTCCGATCTACAGGATATCCCCACTCTGCTCGGGCTAAAACACACTGTTCCAACTGATCCTCTATTTGGTCCGAAAGGGCTCGTGGCCTACCACCACCGATTTTGTTCATAGCGGTTCTTCTTCCATGCAGTCTTTGGTATATCACGGATTTATCTATGCCATAATGATCTTGAGCTTGTCGGTATGTCATGCGCCTTGATTGAACAGCTTCACAAGCTTCTTGAAGCTCTTCCGTAGAATAGGTGGCTGCTGCCCTTTTATGTATGTAGGTGCGCGGCATGTTCAAAATAACTTCATAAATTATTCTGAAACAAGGAAAACAATATGTCTACATTTACCCCAACATACACAACTTGTCTACAATTACCCCAACCAGCTGTCTACAATTATCCTACTAATGTGTGATAGTGGGGTATATGTAGACAGCTTGATTGCTCTGAAAGAAAAAAATATTTTATTATGTAAAAAAATATATGGGTGAATAGGGCGTCAAAAAACACACATTTTAAGATAAAAACAAACTGGTTTTAATAATACCCTTTTTAAACAAAAAAATCAAATAAAATAAATGCGAGAAACGTATAACAGATTTTTTTCTATGGTCATCATACCTCATTACAATTATGTTATTAAACAAGCTAGAGTAGTATAACTTAAAACTACATCAGTTTACACTTACAAAAAATATTACATTCTGGAATTAAAATTAAAAAAACAAAATATATTTTCAAAGATTTGGGGGTGTCTACATTTACCCCCGTCTACACTTACCCCACCTGCCCCTAATTTATAATGTAAAACATAAATAATCACCCAACCTAAATTTTTATGTTAAATGACTGTAATTGTATATTTGAATATAACTTTTAATTCAAAATAACTTTACTTTATAACATTCTTCTGTATATTTTTTGATAAACCTTGTATACGGCTTAAAAAAAATAATATCTGATGATTGTATTTTAAGTTTTGCACCATGCAGAACTTTTTATCAACAATACATTTTTTCGCAAAACCAATAATAAAAAAATATTTCCATATGGTTTCAACTTAAGTACATAGGTACACTGTATAGCTCGAAACGGACAGACAATTGAGAGAAGTCATAATAAAAACAAATTTTCTCCTTACCGATATCTTTCATTTGGCATATATATCTTACTCTTATTGGGAGGTGGGGCAAAACTGCCCATTCTCCTTTAAAAGATCTGTCAAGCAGTTACTAGAGAGTTATTGCAAGTTCACTTAAGGTCAGTCAGTATTAGTGCCGCTCTTACTTTGACATCTGAGTATGCGTAGATCACTAACTTTAATAAAGATTGTGCCTGTCCTTAATAAGAGAGTTATTGCAAGTTCACTTAGGGTCAGTCACTATTAGTGCCGCTTTTATTTTGACATCTAAGCATGCGCAGATGTTTATGTTCTAAAACTGACTTTATTAAGGATTGTGCCTGTCCTTAATTGTGGATGTTTGTTGAAAATCAACAATTAAAACAGTATTGTTTTGTGTTCTTAGGTTTAAGTTGGTATTATTGTTTTGTCATACTTATGTCATTTGTCATATCACTTTGTTGTTCATGTGTCGTTTTGTTGTAAATTATACATGCACCTGTTAAATAAAATAAATCACTCGTCATCTGTGTCTTTATTATATATTCTATCAATGTTTAAGGGCAGAAGGTAGTGGCGACTTTATACCTTTCGGATGCGCTCGTCATTTAAACCTTACCGCCAGAACGATGATTTAGGAGGGGGAAATACCCGACATTTCATCTCCATTGCATTTTTAACCATTTAGTTTTGTCTAGGATGCAAGCAAGTTTGCACGCATATTTGTTGTAACGCACGTGGTTAACAATTTATTGGGCCAAACATGGGTGTAATGTGTTGACTGGTCAGTCCCGGGTTCACCTATTTTAGGCCAAAATTTTATCGTTGATGTCCATTTTCAAAGTAAGTTAATCCAACATGATTTCTTGTAGTTGTACTATATTTTATTTTAATTTATATTTAATTAAATAGCGTGTTTTAACCAATTTTTCTTAAAAATGTCAGTTCCGTGTTTTATTAAAGACACGGAACTGACATATCTAACCCGGAACTGACTTTTTCTATATGTTTAACGGTCGTTTAGTTTAATAGATGTTACTAACAATATTTTTTTTTATATTCAAGGAAAATAAATAATGGATAAATATCCTAAACTGACAACTGAGAAACGTAATCGGCGAAAGAGAGAAAGAGAACGTGAGCGTAGAAGAAAGATTAGAGAAGACCCTGTAAAGCGAGAAGAGCAAAGCGAGAAGAGCAAAGAGAAAAAGAAAGGCAAAAGTACAAGAGATAGAAAGAACAAAATATAAGGAAAAGTATTAAGAACATGACTCCCAGAGAACAAAGAAAAGTACGGAAACAATGGAAGAATTACACAAGAATTCATAGACTTAAAGGAAATCAGGAAAATACTCCCCCTCCTTCTGAAAACGAAAATGAACCAGAAATAATACGCAACATCGTAACCCAAGAAAGTTTTAGAGAAAGAGGAAGAAGGATTAGTAATAGAAATAGCGTCAGACGATATCGGACAAAAAAGAAAACATTGGAACACGTAGAATATTACAGAAAAAAACTTGAAAAATATAAGAAGCGATATCAGAGATTACAATTCAAAATAAATCGCAAGACTAAAAGCAATTTAAAAACAGATAAAAGCCCCGGCCATACTCCTTTTACTCGCACAAATATTATTTTGGAAGAATCTAAATCCGAAAATAATGAAAAGGTTAATGAGGTCAAGAAAAAACTTTTCTTTGGAGGTTATTAAAGATCAGCTTCGTGAGGCTTATAAACATTTAAAAACGACCAATGAAAAGTGGGTTTTCAAGAACATTGTCAACGGGGAAATTATTAAGAAATATAACTTATGCATAAATACAACTTGCTCGAAGTATTTTAAATACGGAAAAATTAATGAATATCATAACAATGTAAAACTACAGGGTGGATCACGAAGCAAGTTCTTGGGCCAGTTGAGAAAAAAAAGTTTCTAATATTTTTAGTACAACTGTACAAGTACAACAGAATTAGATTTTTATTTGTGGTGTTACTCATTGCTCAATTATGGGCAACTAAATTATTTTTTGTTTTCTTTTTTATTGTTCTTTAAGTGTATTATTACTTTTTATTTTTGTATGCTTAATTCCAGAATTAAGAGTTACATGTACTAATAATGTTTTATAAAGTACTTATTTTCTAGTATTAAAGTTCCTTAAAGAACCAAAAAAGTATGTTTAAACACTATTTGACTGTTCAAGCATTTATTTTTTTACTGAAAGACTTTTTACATTTACTTTTTTTATTTTTCATGAAATAAATGTTTCTTAAACTATAAAAAGTTTGTTTATTTTTTATATTTTTTAAAACGCATCACGTTAGTGCAATGTTTTGTCAGACTCATACTTCAATTGTCAGTACCGTGCTTTGATTGTCAGTACCGTGCTTCGATTGTCTGTTCCGTGTTTGGCTATTTTTTTAAAATGCAAATATTTCAATAAAATAACATATTTCATAACATTATCATGCAAAGATTTTTACGTATGCATCTAATACATATCTTAAGCACAGTTATTACAATTATTTTTGACTTTTATCTTTCAGACACATTTACCTTCTAAATTACTCACTTTTGGGGCAATCACCCATATTCAAATACTAAATTTAATTAAGTTCAATGTAAACTACCGAAGAACTAGGAATTATGAACCATTTAGCATTTCATTTCACAATACCAATTATGATTAAAATGAACCGATCACTAGAATGACACGAACAGTTAACAAATATAAGAACATTTAGAACATCTGCCTCATCATTCAAGACATCACTTAAAAAATTAAAATTATAAATATTTTTGTTATACCTGGTTTTTCGAGTCATGGTATACTCTTCCGTAAGAAAATCATTCTTTTTATGAGTTAGTTTACTTCTATTTATTCTGGAAGATCTTTTTTTCTCGGAGTCAATAATATTTGATTTCAGATAATTAAAATCTTCAGCTATAACATCTTCGAAATAGGACCTTGTTCTTTCCAACATTGCATTACATGGTACCTGTGCCTAAAACAAAAATATGTATTTGATTTAAGATGCTTCCAATTTTAAATATTTAAACTGCATTAACATTACAAAAAAATTATCTGTTTTACAGATTCATCCTATGAAGTATATAATTAATCAATAAATTTCATTTATTTCACCTCATAAGAAAATTGTACAAAAAATTATACAACGTTTATCGTGAAACATGTCATGGTAATTATAAAAATACATAAAATTATATACCTAAAAAAAATTTAGAAAAAAAAAATACCTAACAGAAACATGAATTATTATATAAAATATTCTTCTATGGAATAGCAATTTTTCTCTAATAAAGTTTTTTTACATTAGACTTAAAAGTGAAGAGATAACTGGTGTTCTTTATGCCCTCTGGAAGTATGTTATAAAATTTACAAACCATATACTCTAGATTCTTTTCAACAAGTGCCATACGGTGTCTAGGTATTAGTAATTGGCTTCTGTTACTTGTGTTATACTCATGAGAAGCATGCTCGGCAACATATATTGATCTGTTCTTATGAATGAAAGTACATGCTTCTAATATACCCCAGCCAGTGTTAAAATTTTAATTTTTTTTAAAAACTACATGAATCTCTTATTCTCAGTTTCACAATAATTCTTATGGCATATTTTTGAAGAACAAAAACTCTGCTTGGTAGAACAGGTACCCCACGCCATATTTCAAATGAGAGTGAAAACATGCATGATACACTGTTAAGAAAGAGTGTATTTTTACTACAATAATTGGCAAGAAATCTATCTAAGACTATAGCAACTTTTTCGCAATTTATTACACATGTTATTAATATGTGAATTCCAGGTTATGCCATAATCAATAGTTTTTTTTGTGTGGTTGTTGGCATTGGATGGATTCCCTTTGCCACAGATGCGTATTATAATCAATTGTGATTCCTAATATTTTAATATTTTCTTCAGATATACCTAATTGGATTATTAGTCTTTTCAAATAATTGATTTTATATAAATTGTTCATTATTATTAAATAATATTATATTAGTTTTGTTTAATTTTGTCTCCTGCTTTTTACTTGCAGTAGCCATCATTCCATCTTGCCAACTTTTTTTGTCACTACCCTTGCTATGTACCCACGTATCATCGATAAATACAGGCTTAAAGTTACCCAGATCTATCTCCTTATTAAAATTTTTCAAAAACGACATTTTTATTAACTGAATCGATGTTTGTTCCAAAAAAAAGTGTCTGTTGTTACTTCTTTTAAAGCGGAAGCAAGTTTTTCAAGTCCATGTATTAATTGACCGTGAAGAACATTTCACATCAGGCATTTCTTCCAAAAATTATTTATGTAACAATTTCATTGTTAAATGTTGCGCACCTTCAAACATCTTCTATATAACTTGCCTCAACTTACTTAATATTAAAGAATTGATGTTTGTGTTATTTTGGCTTACTTTTTTAGACATTATTTTTACATACTCTGTATCTGAATTTGTTAGTTTACTAAGTCTATAGTTAGTTTTCTGTGAAATATTTAATACCTCTGCAGCCATTTTATAGTGCATCTTTCTAAGAGCCTCGCAAATAGATTTGTGTCTCTTATAATAGGAAACTACGTTCAGGATTAAAGTTTTTGATTGATCACTAAATCGTTTCAACATTATGTTGAATACTTATAAAAACGTGTGAAATTTCAAAATATACAAATTTTGAACAAATTGACAAATTCAAAATTATTTTGATAACTGCCACCTGACATAATAACATATGCTGCGTTTGAGAATCCACATCGGATGCATTTTTTACATCTCGAGCGTTTTTTTATCCACATCGAACACATCTGTCCCATTACATTTACGTATACTGAATCACGTGATCAAAGATTTTTTACATCTCAGATGCATCCGATGTGGATTCTCAAACGCGGCAATAATGTAATTATTTGATGCACTAGTGTCACACTCGACACTGCATTTGAACTATCATACTTGTCAAAAGTATATGTTTTGTGATGGTTTGGTGCACGGCGTACTATAAAGGTGTTTCAACTCCCTGAAAAAAACATACCAAAACCGATCGTACTTCCTAGCCAAAATCCGCTAGGTTCGCTAGTGTCGTTACGGCGGAAAATTGCGGCAATCTTTTTATCTGTCAAAAAAGTGCAATCATAAAAATAGTTCTTCTATGGTGAAAATTCGAGTTTATATGAAATGAAAAATGACAAAACTATCAGGAGTACAGATGAAAAAATTAATGGTCAACAAATAAGTTTATTGTTATTGATGGTTGCTTGTAAGTGTTTTTTTTTAAACAAGCTGCACTGATGTGTGAGTTTATACGATCAAAAAAAAGTGTTCAAGATTTAATAAATATGCTCCAATTAAGTTACATGTTGCTGCCAGAGACTTGCTACTAAATAAGTGAAATGGGGGTGTTTATAAAAAATAGCTGATTTTGTTTTGTGTTCAAATATTATCTTTGGCTTTGGCAAAAACAGCAATACAGTGGGTTACTGATTATAAAATGAAGAAGTGGACGTTAACTATGGTACTCAGATTGAAGCTTATTATTTTTAAAGTGAATTTTGTGATTTTCATTGCCCAGATTAAAGATATTCAATAAACATTTAGTTTTATACCTACTATAATCAAATCCATACATAGTGATTGGAATTACAAACATTTCTGTGAAATAGCATTATACCAGAATAATGAAGTCTCACTGGACTGGAGTATATATGTTTCCAAAAATCAGTAAGTACCTATATCAATTATTATTATTTTTATTAATAAGTATCAGTAATAAATACATCTCAAAGAATAACAAGGTTGTAACTGTACTTTTTGGAAAAAATGAGATTGGTAGAATATATTATTTAATTTGTTTTTGTGACCAATATGTTCATCTGTTAATTATCAATGTTGTGTTATCGAAGCACTAAAGTAATTCACATGGTTCTATCTGCATGTACATAGAACTTATACAGTTTTTAGCAAGTGTCATTATAGTAGTCAGATCTTCGTTATTCCCTAATCCCTAGCAAATGTAGTCTCCATCCTCCACAATTATATTAAGATTAAAGGCCAGGTTTTTACCTCTGAATAAAGTTGAAAGTAACTACTTGCTGATTAGGCTATAGATTATACTTACCCCTAACTTTACTCAGAGGTTAAAAAATCTGCCATTAAAAGAGCAGTGAGTTTTAGAGCATAAACCTTATTAAATATAATGGGTGTTTTTTTATTAAACTTTTTGTTTTTAAACAGTTTTGGTTGAAAATTATAAAAAAAAATGATATAGGATACCTGGAAAGATTTATAATATAAAACAACATTTAAAAATTCTGAATTAACAAAAGTATGTATTTTCTGTTCCAAGCGTTGTCTCTGTTACCTAAACTAAATACTAGAAATAAAGTTTTAACTGGCAGTTACTACTATGCTCTCTCAAATATTCTAAAAAATGCTGCAATGCTAGATGAAATCTTTAATTAGGCATCAAATTTGTAAAATATTAGAGATAGTATGTAGGTATATAGGGAAAATAAAAAATATAATTATAATGAAGAGTAAGAACTTTTAAATTTTAATATAACTAGAACAAAATATTCAGTAATTAAAAATTTTGATAAAAATTATGCTCGAGTATAAATGTTGTGCTTGTTTTTAAGTGGTTTCGATTTACTTTAGGTTTGTTCCAACAATGCTCAGAAATGAGTTACTGACATCAGGATTCTGCACAGTAGTTTATCGATACTGCAAAATTGTGTACTACCCAGTGGTTTGTTTCTGATCATTGTTGGAACAGACCTTTTATTCAATACATAATTGAACAAGTTAAATGTGTATTTGGAATTTTTTTAATTTTACAAATCTGAAGCTTGAATATGGATTTTCAAATATGCACTTTTTGTAGTTTTTAATAATGCTTATTTTTTTTTTAGTTTCTTGTTCATTTAATAAAGATGCTTTTTTGTATATGGGGTGATAATTTTTAAGCAGAGGCGTGCAGCACCCACAAGATCACTGCCAGAATTAAAGCAAATGGGTAATCTAGAAATATGGAGTAGGTTCCCTGCACGTAAGATTTTCAAGAACTTGTAAATACAATGTTTTAATGAATTATTGCCGTTATCAAAGTTAAAGGTGATGAAACACTCATGAAAATTTGTGAATATTTAACCCTTTCAGTGTATTTGTCCCTCCAGAGGGACACTGTCTTAATTAACCCTGAAGTATACATCTGTTAATTTTGGTAGAAATTTTTTCTTTTTGGTTTATTTAGTTTATTTGCATTACTTTTAAGGATTAATATTATAAAAAAATTATTTTCATAGTAAATTTTTGTTTTTGTAATGTCCCTGAACAGGGACGTTATGTCTTGGAGTAATAAAAAATACTATGAAAAAATTTTAATTTACTTAAAATAAAGAAAACATACAATCTACTACAATGGTATTTTTTTTAATGATGAAAGTGGAAGTGAAAGGGTTAAAAAAATAATAGTAATTTATCAGATTTATGTATGATTTGTTCTTGTAGTGACAGTCACTATAAATTTGAGAAGTGTGCTAATTGAAACGGGACAGGGCTCATATAGTTTTATTTAAAAAGTAAACCTTGTCATTAATTAAATATAAATGATTATTATATTACATTATTGAAATATATAATGTAAAACAAATTGTTGTAATGTTTTTCTGAAATCAGAAGTGTTGTCAGGTTTGTTACTGTCTGCTGCTAACTGTGATGTGTACAAGCGAACATAATAAACCTACTTATTGAGTACATTAATATGAAAAACTCATAATAAATCTGGAAACTACACATTTGAAATTTTCCTACTTATTTTTTCATTACTGCTATTATCTAATAGAACAATTCCTATGCTTTTATTTAATATTTAATTTTCCACAAATAAATATAAAAAAATAATTAGTAAAATTATAAAATGAGTTCCAATTAAATAATGAACTATATTATTAATTTAAATTGTTAATATAAGAAATGAATAAATTAAGT